TTGTTAACCACCGTTCTTTCTTACCTTCTTCCTCCCACTCTCACGGAACACACTCATAAGGAAGATAGAAACACATCTTCAGTGCTAGAAATTAGTATATTGCCTTTAATACGAGTTGTAATATTCAAATTGTTATTGTGCCTATGCATCTCGGATTGTGCGCAGAGCTGAAACTCCACATATCTTACTCCCCAGTGCGCATGCGTAACATAATGTCCTTACGAACATCCCTTATGACGAATGCGCTTAGACAAGATTTGTAATATGAATTGGGCGATAAAATGAAATATGCTTACAGAATTTTTGTTATAAATCTAAAACGGAAAGACACCCTCGAGAATCCTATTCGTAGAAAGGAGGATAACTTTCAGGTGGATCAATTATAAATTGTTCCGACTCTGATATGGGGGCACGCGGTAGCGTAGTTTGTTGGAGCACTATGCTACAAGCCGGAAGGTCGCGGATTCAAGTCCCGATGAGGTCATTGGATTTTTTTTTCAATTGACCCAATCCTTCCAGCCGCATTATGGCCCTAGGGTCGACTCAGATTCTAACAGAAATGAGTACCAGGGATCTTCCTGGGGAGTAAAGGGGGACCGGCGCGTAAAGCTGGCAACCTTGCCACCATCTATGAGCCTATTATCTAGAAAATATGGGAACCTCAACATCTCACAACCCTATGGGCTTCCATGGCCTGTTATAGGGATAGCTTTACTTACCTTAACTAATCGAAACATAACGCCATTGTCCTATTTCTTGTGTAAGAAAGACCCAGTTGAATTCACCACTTCGCCAATTTGAAAATTGTTTATGAAATTTCATAAACAATTTTCAAATTGGCGAAGTGGTGAATTCAACTGGGTCTTTCTTATATATACATACATAAATATTGAACAGAAATCCCCGCTCTTGAAGTGTATATTTCAGCATCTCAATTCAGTACTGTAAATGAGCGCACGAAGCAGATGTCTGAATGCCTTACGCGAAGAGAAACACGTGGAAGACTGATGGGTTTTACATTGAACCATTTGTAGCTGTATTCGTGCCGTAGAAGATAAGAAGTAACAGAGACATCACGGCGGCTCCCTCAGCCTCTCAGCCTTGGTATTGCGTTATGGGAGCTCAGCTACCGGGAGGGTAGTCTGCTCACAGTCGGGGCTAGCTCAGTTCAGCCTTTCGTGTAAGACATGTCACAACAGACTTGGACTTATGGCCATTCTATATATTGATTGCTAAATAGTGTGGTTGGTTCAGGCAGTATGCTACAAGACGAGAAGGTCGCGGGTTTGTTTACCGATGAGGTCACTGGATTTCTCAATTTACTCAATCCTTCCAGCCGCATTATGGCCCTGGGGTCGACTCAGCCTCTAACAGAGATGAGTGCCAGGAATCTTCCTGGGGATAAAAGGCGGCCGGTGCGTAAGGCTGACAACCTTACCGCCATTTGTGAGCCGATTGTGGCATCAGTTATACCGGGCCCCCGTCTTATGAAAAGTAATTTACCGGACCGCGGTCTCACAAAGATTGAGAACCGCTGGACTGGGAAATGTGGGAGCCTCGACGTTTCACAACCCTGTGGGCCTCCACGGTAGTTACATGGATAGTTTTACCTTTTCTTACTTATTCCTATATTGGCCGTGCCATGGCTCAAGCGGTTAGTCGCTGGCTTCCCAACGCGGCGGCCCGGGTTTGATCCCGGTCTGGTCAAGTGGGATTTGTGGTGGACAAAGTGGCGCTGGGGCAGGTTTTCTCCGAGTACTTCGGATTCCCCCGCCAATCTTCATTCCACCAATTGCTCCACAATCACCCTCACCTATCATCTTGGGCTGGTACAGTAGGCCAGAAGTGGCCGCAGTACAAGGGACTTAGTCGTACCCCACTAGCAATAGGGAAAAAAACAAAGCTATGAGAACATGAAATCGTACATTTATTATTGTTCGTCAAACGTAATGAATAATATTATGATGGGTTGGCCATGTAACTCGAATCAGGATTCAAGAAGAGAATTGTGGAAACGTAATACTTGGTAGGTCAGGAAGGAGACGTGATATTATCCTTATGATTATTGTTAGGATGATAAATTGTGGAAATGGGAGGGAGTTGAAACCGAATCGGAATTTTGTCTAGTGGCGGTAAACCTTCAGGCTCTGCTACTAGAACGTTTGTTGGTGGAGTTCACCGTTTCCTGCCACGTGCTACATAGCTCACATAGAACACTGAAACTTGTAGATTCGATTTATGTTGTATATTCGACATCCATTTAAATTAACATATTATACTACCTCTGAGAAATTGGGCCCAAAAGTAATTCTGGATTGAAGAGTAGTATTTTCTGGGGTATAATGTTGAAAGTCCTGCCTCCGTCTTCAGGGTCGAATAATCCGAGCAGCGTGAATTCAGGTGGTAAGCTGATGATGGAGGCGATGTATTCTTCCGAAACGTCGGTTGACCTTCAACGGTATACACGGCGTTGTATCTTAGCAAATAAGTATTCTTTCTAGCAACAGCTGTGAGAACGTCAGGTCCTGCACAATTCTGGATTGCCCTACACTAAAAATTATACATTTGCATAGTTATGATCTATTCTCTATGTAAAACAAATGTGAAGGTACGTCGTTAGATAGTGATGTATATCGTTATGTTATCATTAGAAAGTTCTAGGGTACTATTTTCAACTTGCTGTTGGGACCAAAATCATCCCATTAGAGACCACTTTCACATACCTCAGAGGCGTAAGATGTGTTGTAATAATACCTCCTTCAGGGGCAGAGTGAATATAGTTTGGTACATAGATACGAGGCTTTCGGAAGAACATGCAGCCTCCATCTTCAGGGTGGAATAATGGCTCATTTTTATTAAGGAGTTAATGATTCCTAGTATGCCTACTGAGTCGACTTTGGCAATTCAGATAAAGAAATATTCTCAGAAACAATAATATCGTCCAATTTCTTTTGGTGATTCTGAGATGAACTGAAAATCAGTAATATCATTTAATGATCTGCGTGTAATTTTCATTAGTGCAGGCTCCGACTATCTGACGAACAAACTCTTACTATGTTAAATTTGTCATATTTCACTCAATGTTTCGACAAGTCACCATGTATGTATGTGTATGTGTGTATTATCATAAATAGTTTCTCGGAATTCTTTTGGATGTCTACACAGACTTTCGCATGCCAGCATCCGTTCCTCTTTAGTTATCTGTAGAAAATTAAACGTCAAATAGGTTTTCCCTCCGCCGCTGTGTAAATGAATTAAATTAGAAAAATAATCACTTACTAATCAGCATATTTATTGAAGATCTCTTGCCTCCCAAAATCTTAGGACCATTTGAAATACTGTACTATTGTCATTCCCTCCTCAGAATTATTCACTGTCGGCATGTTGACATTATTAGTGATAGAAAAGCGAAAAGTTCGGAGGTACAGTGACATGATGCTCATGTCAGTTCTTGTGAAAACCCCTCAAATTATTAAGGGAGACACACAAGGATGGACACACGGAAACCATAATAAACGTTTTATTCTCCTTATAAAATGAGGAAATGCCGTTAAAAGAATGAAATATTTACGCAGACTTGTTACCCTTCCCATACCATTGACCCATTCCAGTGAATGTTTGTGTGTGTATTGAGGCATCTTAAAGGGAAATTTATGTACTACTGTAGCCAAGAAGCCAGTCATTAAGTAATGTGTTGCAGTTCATGTATCCACTGAAATAACTCAAGCGCTAAATTTCCTGACGATGTTTTAAACATGGATTGGTTAACTCGTTTGTGATTATTTTCTGTAACTTGTCTGCCTGAACAAAACACCTAGTATATCAAACTAAACATGATGTCTTGTAAGAGTTGCCTTAAATTACCTAATGACTGGATTGTTATTTGTCCTGTATTATATAAGATAAAAAGAAATAGGCCTCAGTATTTTCAGTCTGTTATACTATAAGTACCACATGGTTCAGTGTGCAGTAACTTGAAAGTTGACCTACAGAGTGTATTTTGGATTTGTTGTTTTAATTCTCAGAATAAAATGCAACGATTTCGCTAAACATTATTATTCGACTGATTTTTATAATGGTCATGTCTTGTACAACTTGTATTCTTGGAGGGAGGGACCGAATTTACATAAATTGCTCCCACTAAATTTGTAAGAGGTGATGGACATATGGACACATGTTTTATTTTGTTGTTGCGAATGCCTGTAGTGGGATACTTTTGCCTCGGAAAGTAAATTTGATGCTTCCTCGCAAAGAGACATGATTGACCGCCGTGTAGATGACAAGGTTGGGTTAAGTACTCATGATAAGTCGATGTTTCAGGAGGAAAAGCAATTCTTTCCTTATAAATAAGGTTGCGCCATAGCTCAAGCGGTTAGTCGCTGGTTTCCCACTGCGGCGGCCCGGGTTCGATCCCGGGTCTGGTCAAGTGGGATTTGTGGTGGACAAAGTGGCGCTGGGACGGATTTTCTCCGAGTACTTCGGTTTCCCCTTCCAATCTTCATTTCACCAAATTCTGCATCATCATAATCACCCGGGGCAGGCTACAATAGGCCAATCAGTGGCCGCCGTGCCGAGTGGACCCAGTTGGACTCCACGTCCCACTAGGAGAATTAATTCCTTATAAATATGACCTATATTTCTACTGTGAAAGCTTTTATAAACAAGTTCTTATGATTTGTTCACTGACTTCAGACTGGATTTGTGGGAAGTATATTCATTGTTGTATCATAACTGGAGCCTATTTCTTCTGTCTGAGGTAACATACAAGTGTACACGTGTCTGTACAGTTCTGGAATACACAGTAGTTATGATTTACCGCTGTAGTTGTAGATAACTATGTTTTGATGGTCTGTAGTTTCGTAGACATGAGTAGTTGTAGCTGAAAAGTAGCGTGTTTGCAATGTTATATTTACACTTGCTGAATCGCATCAAATGAAAAAGCAAAACTTGTGAGAGAATGGAAAGCGAAAGGAAGGGTTTGAAGAGTGGTTCTCTTTCAGCAGACGCGATCCGATGAGCGTGTTGCTGGCCGAGAACGGTGTCCGAATGTTCGCGTCAAGGTAGGTGACTTCCCTCCCTCCCTTGTTTCATAGCAAGCAAAGCGAACAAGCAAGCCTGTTCTCACTGTTCCACTATGGTGTTGTTGTTATTGTTAGTGTTTCCTTGTTAGAAACGCATTATCATTCTACCTATTGTGCAGTACATTACATACACTTGCTCTAATACCAAATTGCATCTCACAGTGACGTGGAAGGCAGTGACTAAGTTATAACTTGTAACGAAATAATAAATATTTTTGTAGTCCATGTAACGACATCGTCAACAACTCAGACTATAGCGCTCCGCATGGTAGGAAATGTAAAGTATGTAGGAGGAAGTGGTGGATGCTCAGTTTAATGTAATGTCCCAGAACTTGCCTGGTGTGACTGAACAAAAACATTGAAAAATTTGGATAGTCAGTGCCTCGGCCGGGATTCGAACTGGTCACCTTCAGAATACAAACGGAAGCATTACTGCTCTGTCCGAATAAGAAACACACCCTATTATCTAATGATATGGGATCGAGGATTCAGTTTCCTTTGGTATACTGTGATAACAGCCATTGCTGTTGTTTCATTCCTATGTCTTAAATAAGTAAGTCCATAGAGTGGGGGCTTACTGAACAGGAGTGAAATTATTTATTTGGTTAAAAATTTTCTTTTCTTTTAAATACCTAAAGTTCATCACCGAGTTCATGAAAATCCATATTTAAATATACACTTTATTTGACTATTTAAATCGAATCTTCACATCACATTGAACTGAAATCAATTTCGACATTATCCTAAAATCTAGACCTGGTTTCCCAACTCTCTTCTTCTTAAATTTTCGGACGAAATTTCGGTATGCATTACTCATGTCCCCATGCATGCTACATGTCCGGTCTATTTCATCCTCCTTAATACATTTTTCTTAAAAAAAATTACGTAAAGACTACGGATTGAGAATCTCATTGTTATGTAATTTTCCCCACTCACCTGATGTCTAGGATCTCTTATGTTCGCCGAACTCTGTTAACACTCAGAACTCACACAGCCTCATGCTGCGATCTGAGTACTATTTAGGATAGAGTCAGATTCGATTCTTGGCCTATAAGTCGCTCATCCTGACTGCTCCTCTTGTTTGTGTCGGCCCCTGCTAGGACCATAAAATTGGTCCCGGTCTTTTCGTTCCAGATCCTTCTGAATACATTATTTACATACGGCCGCTCGGCAGTACGAAACTGATCGTCGTTAAACAGACTATTTAGAAATCCTGTCCGCCACCTACTGATTGGGAGGGGTGTGTGGACCAGAGCCGGTTTGGATGTGTTGGTCACGGGAATCATATCATATCCCTCCTGGGAACTGAACCACGGTTTCCTGTTCTCAAGCAATTACTTTACTAATTGACTTGTTCCGTCCAGAATATAGTAATAACAATGGAGCAATGCGGTAACGTAGTTGGGTTGAAGCACTATGCTAAAGGCCGGAAAGTCGCGGGTTCGATACCCGATGAGGTAATTGGATTTTCTTTTCAGTTGACCTAATCCTTCCAGCCGCACTAAGGCCCCCAGCCTGTAACATAAATGAATACCAGATATCTTCCTGAGGGTAAAGGCGGCCCTTCGCGTAAGGCTGACAACCTCATCGCCATCTGTGAGCCGATTTTCTAGAGAAAATGTGGGAGCCTCGACTTCTCACAACCCTATGGGCCTCCACGGCCTGTTAAGGGATAGCTTCACTTTAGTAGTGGTAGTAGTAGTAGTAGTAGTAGTAGTAGTAGTAATAATAATAATAATAATAATAATAATAACAATAACAACAAGGAGGAGGAGCCGGGATAGCTCAGTCGGCATTGCAACGGGCTACGGGACGGACAGCCTGGGTTCGGTTCCGGCAGAAGAGATGTCTCTCTACTCCATAGGATCCATACCGGCTCTGGGGCCGACCCAACCTGTCCAACTGGTAACGAGGGCTCCTATCCTGGGAATAAAGCGGCCAAGGCATGAAGCTGACCACTCATCTCCATATAATGCCGAGGTCAAGATTGATGGAACTATACCTCCAGTTCCCCATACCTCTTTGTGGCGTGTTCCTTAGTTAATTAAGAACTGGGACAACTCAACAATAATAATGAAAAACATTCTTGCCCAGAATTACCAAAAGCGACCGTTCTTGAATCAATGTAGATACTGGGGAAGATAATGACATGTCAGTTTATTTTAAAATATACTTTTCATGAAACCGTTACGTGAGGAGTCTTAGGGACAAGGTTTGGTCCTGAATCACAGGCAGGGATCCTCATGATATTACATGAAAGTAAAAATATATTATTAATATGATAAAAGTAAGGCGCCATTTACAGTTAAAGTGTATATTTTGTTAATAATCCACACGATATCACATCACCAGAATTGGAACTCTTCTAATTATGGCCCAAAAATCTTTATTGTATAAGTTGAGATTTCCGGTAACGAGTCCCTGCTCTTGCTACTCCACAGCTAAGTTAGAGTCGGCGTGTGATGCGGGTTGCTGTCTCACTCTCTTTGTGGAAACTGATATCATATTTATTTGTGACTTATTTATCGACGCTTTCAGTAGCACCGATTATGTAGGGTCACTTGTTAGGTAATGAGGGGGAATATGAACAGTCTCAGCCGTTGCCTGAGGGAAATAAAGAAAATCACGAAGAATCCCAACCTTGTTCCAGGTCGAGATATCTACCCGGAACCTCCCGATTACAAAGCAGAACTATCCTCTCTACCCTCCCTTCCCCTCTTATCTCTCAGAACTGTATTCTGAGATGTTAAGATTCTTACAAGTGACTGAGGAATAGTGTATTGACCTTTTACGTAATGCACTGATTAGGGCCGCGCCATAGCTCAAACGGTTAGTCGCTGGCTTCCCACCGCGGCGGCCTGAGTTCGATCCCGGGTCTGGTGAAGTGGAATTTGTGGTGGACAAAGTGGCGCTGGGACAGGTTCTCTTCGAGTACTTCGGTTTCCCCTGCTAAACTTCATTCCACCAATTGCTTCACAATCACCCTCACCTATCATCTGGGGCTGTACAATAGGCGAGAAGTGGCCGCAATACAAGGGACTTAGTCCCATCCCACTAGCAGTAAAAATTGCACTGATTATATTTAAACGTTTCGTATTGTGATTCTCAGAATAAACCTCATTAACCAGTTGATATCTGTAATGGAGACACAGTAGTTGAGTGTGGCTGGAACTGGATCCTGAAGTGTTACTCGAGACACTCCAGGCTTCAGCGGGCTAAACTGTAAATTTATATTTTCCGTACATTGAATATTTAACTTTTTTTCGCCGACAAGCGGCAGTCGCTCGGTCGGTATAGTTCATTTGCGGACTACAGGCAACGTGATTTTTTTGTTTGTTGAATATTTTTTACATTCGTCGACAACAGTTTCTTACAGAAGTATACAAATGTAGACACAGAACCGCCCCGAGAGAGTCCAAACGAGCACCTACAGGATAACACGGGAATTCTCCATATACAGCATGATAGGAACTTCCACGCTAGTGCCACTACACAAAACTTGTAACCCGATTATTGGGAGCTAACGCATGTGAACATACATCATACCCGCCTAGGAAGGAACCAGACCGGAGCGACCAGTGTACCAGCGAAATAACTACTACATATATATAATTTAATCTTAGTTTCGACCTTAATTTAACCCCTAACTAGATATACAATAATTTAACTACGAAATTATATCTAACACGAGCATAATTGGACTATAAAGTAGATAGTACCAAGAGTTTTGTTACCAAGCATAATTACGTGTTATATAGGCATATTCAATATGTGGATAAAAAACTCCGTGGCTTTTAGTCAACAAGCGAACTATACCGACCGAACGACCGCCGCTTGTCGGCGAAGTTAGTGCCAACTTTAGCGGATAGAGAGTGTCGCGTGGTCAGCCAATGGACTCCCACGGCCGTTAATCTCGGTTTTATAGACCGGAGCTGCTACTTTTCCATTCAAGGAGCTCCTCAATTATCCTCACGAGGCTGAGTGGACCGCGTTCCAGACCCACTACTTCACAGAAAATCTTGTAGCGCCGGAAATCGAACCCGAGACATCTGGATCTGTGGCCAGGAACTCTTACCACTAGACCACAGAGGCGGCTATTTAGTACATGGATTCACAATAAAAATAACGTTCAACGCCTAAGCACAAACAATACACCTGATGATGACCCAGTAAGTGCCGGGTTCGATCCCGGGTCTGGTCAAGTTGGATTTCTGGTGGACAAAGTGGCGCTGGGGCAGGTTTTCTCCGAGTACTTCGGTTTCCCATGCCAATTTTCATTCCACCAAATTCTCCATCATATTCACCCGGGGCTGGCTACAATTGGCCAATCAGTGGCCGTCGTGCCGAGTGGATCCAGTTGGACTCCAACCCCCCACTAAGAGAATTAAAAAAAAATTAAGGGTCGTAACATGTCGTGTTATAATGTTTTAAGATTTTGATGTAAGTAATCGCTATTTGTATACTTTTATAAGAAATTTTTGTGACGACGGATGTAAACATTACTCAGTGTACTTGACAAAACACGATGCAACGCATGACGATTATATTTTCTGTAGTCTGTACCTACAGGTGTATGAGAAGATGTTTCAGCTAACAGAATATTTAAATATATCTTTAATTAGTTGAAATTTCATTTGAAATGTTGAGGGTGTCTCGTTAGTGACAGTTTAGCTTAATTATCTGTCAGTGTACGAAGTGTCTTCAGATCGTCAGCCTTGAAGTACCAGCGTCTTTTTCCTTTGGATTAGACTTAATGTCCTCGGTGACCCTTCCCACTGCACTGTCCATGTGTCGACACTAACAGTTTGATATAGAAAAGTATTTAAATTATTGCTAAATTTTTACGACACTTTTTGACAATCTTTATATCGTAACAGTCTTTGACTGAGAAGTTTTCATAGCGATATTTGATTCTGCGATAATATCAATAATTTAGATTATGTATTACTGACTGTTTCTGTTTATTACATGGCCTTTAACTGTTTCATCTTTTGCCTATTTCCGGGTGGTAAATAATTATGATATACCGATTTTACGCTGGACTCTTTGGACGAGGGATCACCCCTTCGTAAGGTCTTCGCAAAGGCTGCGCCATAGCTCAAGCGGTTAGTCGCTGGCTTCCCACCGCGGCGGCCCTGGTTCCATCCCGGGTCTGATCAAGTGGGATTTTTGGTGGACAAAGTGGCGCTGGGACAGGTTATCTCCGAGTACTTCGGTTTCCCCTACCAATCTTGATTCCACCAATTGCTCCACAATCACCCTCGCCTATCATCTGGGGCTGGTACAATACTCGTAGGCCAGAAGTGGCCGCAGTACAAGGGACTTAGTCCCACCCCACTAACATTAAAAGAAAAGTTCTTACGCACGGCAGCGCAACATAGAACGGACAAAAATCTATACCTCAGGCGGAATGCGAACCATTTGTCCAAGATTTGATAGACTTAAGGCTGCTGAACATCCTGAGACACATAAAGTGCCATTAAAAGAGAATCAAATGAACACTACCATAGATTTCGTGTTTCTTGATCGTCTTGATTTTTACGTCCAGACCTTTGTCCCAAAATTCAAAGCACCCTGTATTCTTCTTCACTCCGAACGTTTTACTGTCATCTGTGCAGATTGATTATATCATATTCGCAAAATTGCAGCGTAACATATTGTTTTATATCCTTTCGTCCATATTGTTAAAGATATCCACACTGAAAATTGCAGCGTAAACCTGTTTCTTTTAAGAAATTTTTACTAAAATTATCAGGAAAATTTATTTCTGGACCAATTCGTTGCCATCAGGTGAAGATAAACATATAACTGTAACCTGTTTCCTCTCCTATATGAAATTTGATATAGGAACTTATGAGACAAATTTTTCCGAATGAAATTAGAATTTTACCCACATCCTTCCATCAGTGTTGTTAACTACCAAAGATGAATATTCTTCTTCTGGTTGTTTAATCCTGTAAACCATTTTCAGCTGTTAAATTTAACATCCTTAACTTTTACAGACAAAATTGATATGTAAATTACATTTTAATTACATTTAACTATAAGTGCTGCTAACGTATGAAGTTTAAAATTCGAATTTGACGTGTTTAACCCTAAAGTAATGTGTCTGAATATGTTATTGCGCTATATAGTCAACCCATGACAAGAATTCTCAAGAAAATTAGATTTTGAGCAGCTTTGATGCATTGTTGTTGTCAGTACCCGAATATCAACTCTCTTACTCTTCCTCAGTTTAGTCTCTTATGTAGGGTATAATTTTGCCGATAACAAAATCCGCTTTCCTCTTCAGAAGGTAGTTACATTTAGCTATTCTATGTACGGAGTCTCTGGTTTGCCTGCGGTCGTAAGGACCGACGGGCTGCACCGAGATACGGCTGCGAGCCGATTAAGCAATAAAATGTCTATTCTGTAGGTGAGGTCAGAGTGTATATGACTGAAGGTCAGGCTAATACCATTTATTTCGGGTCCAATTTTACTATAACTTCTTCGTGTATTTACTGTGTCTCTCCGGCAAATTCTAAGATAGTAACCACAAACAGACCAGGATCACTTCCCTTAAATCTTTTAGAGCCCAGTGGTGTCTGTATGTGCCACCTGCTTAAACATGCTAAAACACTGCATTCTGCCCACAGAGTGTGTTTTTGTGTTTTATATGGTTGTCACAGTAGACAGAGAATTTTTCCCTAAACAGCATTAACCGGTTGGTCTTTGCAGAGGGGGCATAATGTGTTTCCTGTGAGGTACAAACTAAAATTTTATATATTATTTAGATGAAATTAAGGCTTTAAAAGGTTAAAATTCCTTAAGAACCAAAACCTAATTATCCTATCACTTTACGCAATTCAGTTTATACGGGTCACAGTAAACAGTGAATCTAACACTTGTGTTAAAATAAAACGAAAAATATTATTTTGTAATGTAGAATGCCCTCTGAACAGGGGTCAACAAATGCTGGGGCTGACTTCACCATCCAGGCAAAACATCCACCCTCTAGGATTTCTCCACAAGAGAAACCGTGCCTTCTCACTCCTGCTGATGTAAATACTCCATTCCGGCCTACTTATCATTACATAACACGAAACATGTAACATGTCGTCTCTCCTATTATATAGTGTATGTAAAACATATCATGTACTTTTCAAGTTTGCTGTTCGACATTCGTGGAGCAAACGTCCCGCCCTCCCTCTGCCAAAGAAAAAGAAAACGGAGCTGAGGGTAATGTTAACAAATAAATTGAAGTGCCTTACAAGTTATGAGTCGTGATGTCATAAGCGATCAGACGAGTGGGTTTCTTGACTCCTGCCTGTGAATGGTTTTGTTTCTCCGTATTGAGCATTGCATTGATATTATTGGTGTAATAATGTACTGTGCAGTAGTTGCTGGGTCGTCTTTCATTCTGGGAGAACATTGTAATGCGATATTCCAAAATTTTCTATACAACACGTTTAATTTAATGGATATTTCGAATGTCCCACTTTGATTAGATCCTGAAATTCAAATATCGTTCATTGTGCTCTGTACATTAATGCGAGGTCATGATTTTCTAAGACGTACGTGATTGTGATGTCCTGAATTGTTCACGTTTCAGGGACTTCTGCCTTAATGTCTAACTGGCCGATATCAGCCTGTCTTCATATTCTCAATACTCTAAGGCCGAGGGCACACCGAGGAAACTGGCAACCGCAACGCAACCGCGATTTCCGAGAATTGTTTTCAGCCTGAGTTGAACACATGTTATTGAATGGAGAAGCGCAAATTGAAGAAACGGCAACAAAGTTTCCTCAATTTGCACTGCTCCATTCAATAACATGTGTTCAACTCAGGCTGATAACAATTCTCGGAAATTGCGGTTGCGTTGCGGTTGCCAGTTTTCTTGGTGTGCCCTCGCCCTAAGAGTTCTGCCTTCATACGAAACAGTCAGGGCATAAGGCCTTGTAGTTAAAAAACTGCAGTCTCTCCGAAATGTGTTGAAATCAGTCTCTCACAAGAATAGACCATGTAATCACTAACAGGATTGTTTTATACAGGGTGTTTATAAAATTCTGATCTACTCTTAAAGCACAATAACTCTGATTATATTGATCGTAGCAACAGATCCTTATCTGTGACACGAAAGAACGTTTGATAATTTTGTGTTGTATCGTATTGAAGTTTCTTACATAATGAAAATCGGCCTTCCTGTACCTGCCGTAGATGTCTGTGTGTTAAGAAGTTGCCTGTTTTCCTTTAGCATAAAGCACTGCACATATATCTTTTCTATCTTTCTGTGCTTTGTTATCTTAGTCATGAACGTATGTTTATTCATAGAATTTGTTATTTTTATTATTAACACATTTTTGTATTAGTGTGTTTGCTAAGGTAGAAATTTTTTCTTGTTAGTAATATTTTATATTTTATGTTATCTTATAGGGGCTTCGGATTTATCACCTTCGCCGACCCGGCTAGCGTAGATAAGGTATTAGCGCAAGGGTCCCACGAGCTAGACGGTAAAAAGGTACCGTAGACATTTCTTAATTCCATAGTCCTGTAAAATAAATCTCAAAATGAGTCCAAGAAAACATGCATTATTAATTTGCAAGCAGCTTCAGTTTTAATACCTCACAACCTGGCTGGAAGTATTATATTTCCGTGAATTATTTTGAAAGGGTAGCATTTGTTTTGTTAAAGACATTTGTAAATGTACGGTTTCGAAGGTGGAAGACGGCAATATCCATGCAAGAGGTAAGTCACTGTATACTAGATTCCTGCCAGTCTGCGAATGGATTTTGCTTCATTTATGAAGCAGTTACACTGCATTCCCCCCCACCCCCCACCCTTCAACCGTGGAAAAATGAACATCTTGATTTTTCTTCCATTGAACAATGTTAATTATTCCTGGAAAACCTCATGAGAAGATTGCAAGGTTCTAAGACTTTTCAAAAACGAGGAAATGATTTTTCTTATTTTTATTAGTCTCTCATACTTATTTGTTGTGCTTTATTATTAGTATTTTGCGTTTTAAATCCTAATTTTTAATACACAACAGTCTTGAAATGACATTGATAGAATACTATCACATTCTCACAAGCTCTAGGCTACTAAAAACCATGGATTGTGTAGGCTGTTTTGGAATATGTTTTCCCCCCCTAAGCATATCATTCGCTTATTGGCTAATCTAGGTACCCAAAGAAACTAAGCTATATACAAACAATGTTCCAATGTTATTGAGAGGAATTTATGTCTGTAACTTCTAGATCGATGCTTTATATTGAGTTCATACTAGGAACTGAAAGCGTTTGCAGTTCCTACTGACTGAATCTGAATTGCGGTGATGTGAACACTGTTACCGCATTCAGAGCTTTCGCTGCCCTGTTTTCAGATTAATCACTGACTGTCCAAAGAGGTTTCTGCCTCTCCAAAAAGTCTGTTTTGTAGTACTTGGCAATTCATTGAAAATATATGTTAACCACTGTACGACGAGTCGATAATTGTGATAAAGCAGATTTATTAAATTCTCGTAAGTCTTATCTGCACGACGAAGCTACAGTGTCGATGTAGAATGTGTGCAGTATGACCTTATTGTCTTCCAGCCTCCTGGAAGAGCGGAAGCAGGCCGCATTTAAGGCTGGATTTTGATAGTTCGCTTGCAGACTACAGGCCACGGCGTGTTCTTTTATGTTCTGGCATGTAATGTAAGGAAATTCCCTAAGTTTGATTTGTTTCATTTTGGTCCGTCACACTAAAAAGTTAAAATGGTTCCGTATAGTCACACTAAACGGAACTATTTAAATTCCCTAACATTCATATTTATTTAAATTAATTGCATACGATTAATAGTACATAGTTTCCAAAGCACTCAGAAGAAATCATAATTGCGTATGTATGATTTCATTTCAGAGGTTATTTTAAAGTATCTGTAGACGAAAACATATTTTGTTTCGATATGCAGTCCAGAGGGGGCTCGCGGTAGCGTAGTTGGTTTAGGCACTATGCTACAAACCGGAAGGTCGCAGGTTCAATTCCCGATGAGGTCACTGGATTTTTCAATTTACCTAATTCTTTTAGTCGCATTATGGCCCTGGGGTTGACTCGGCCTGTGACAGAAATGAGTACCAGGAATCTTCCTTGAGGGTAAAGGGCTGCCGGTCGGCGCGTGAGGCTGACAACCTTACCGCTATCTGTGAGCCGATTTTCTAGAAAATGTGGGAGGCTCGACGTCTCACAATCCTATGGGCCTTCACGGCCTGTAACAAGGATAGCTTTATGTTGTATACAGTCTAGATATGAAAGCAGTTATTTTCCTTTATAGTGAAACAGTTCTCTTAAAAATATATTTTATATGACAAACACAGTTCGAGAGTTACGGTCTTCTGGAATGTGGCAAAGTGTAGTTTGGTAGATAGGTGCCAACATGTCGGAGGTACCAGGCGCCCCCATCATCAGGATACTTTGACGACAGACTTTGATAAATATGTACCGAAGTTTCAGAGGTATACCGAAGAACGAGGGTACAGACTGCTCCGAAACGCTGACGCCACGCAAGAGCCTTAGATCTAACAATACACGCTGTTTTTGCCACATGATGCACTTCTATCGCTGTCGATAAAGGTAAATGTAAAGCTATCCTGTAATAGGCCGCGGAAGCCCATAGGGTTGTGAGACGTCTAGGGTCCCACATTGTCTAGCTAATCGGCTCAGAGATGGCGGCAAGGCTGTCAGCCTTACTCTCCGGCCGCCCTTTACACCCAGGAAGATTTCTGGTACTCATTTCTATTAGAGACTGAGTCGACCCCAGGACCATAGTGCGGCTGAAAGGATTAGGCCAATTGAAAAGTTCCACCTCATCGGAACTCAAACTCGCCACCTTCCGGCTTGTAGCATAGTGCCTCAACCCATTACCCCACCGCGTGCCCCATATCGCTGTCGAATTTGTGTCAAATACCATTCCCTCGGAAATAAATTTTGACTTACAATTTTCAAGTTACTGAAAGGAGGAGGTTTTGCGACCCCTTGTATATTTATGTTTCCTGTTAGACACTTGACCTAATAATGTTGGAACATGCCTACTCCTGGTGACTTTGCTTCTTCCATGCATAAGCCGGGCGCTCATTCGTTTCCATGGTAAGGGTAAATCTACCCATGCCTCTAGTGTATTTATTTACAAGTTAGACTAACTGAATGTCTTGACTTTACATAGATTACTAACACTATAGCTCAGTCTAGTTCTGCTGCAATTTCCGTTTTTTGTGCTAATGCTGAATTTCAACCTATATAGTTGTACACAAATTAATAATATGCATTCTTAGACTGATAAACCAGTGTGTATTATATTAGAATCCATTAGGATTAGAATACCTTACAATAATTAGTGTCTAAGTTACTGTTTACACAGTTTAGTTGTGGTTAGCCAACGTATTTTGAGTGGATCATACTTTTAGCTTGTTTCTGTTACCAGTGTTTTTAAATCATGCTTACTTCATTCTTGTATAGATATGGCATACAGACATGCATTGAAGTTTATTGCTGCTTAACTATAAATATGTGCAGGATGATAATTCAGTGGTTCGTAACCCAAGATGGCCGGTGGGAATTTAATGCAGAATTTATAATGCAGGAGGTTACTGTGTGCCTGTTATTTAGTTACATTGGGGGACATGAAATTTCTTTCAAATTTTGTAGTATAATGGTTTAGAAAATGGTTTGTTAGAAAGTCAAGTATGAGGGGAATAATACTAAAAAGAATCTCAATGAAGTTGATTGTCATTGTGTAAATGGATCGTGTTTAATGAATGTGTTCCAGTGACGGATACAGTGAACACGTGTTGCATTTTTGTAGGATAACTGCCGCCTGGAAGGTGAGACATGTGACAAAATAATATGAAGATGGACTTAAATCGGAACAGGTTTTATATGAACTGGACTGAACTGTGAACTTATTCCAGACAATGCTCTCTAAATATAGATCCTAATGGAGAATAACAGGTGCATAAATTATGTCAATATTGAAACCTTGTCGAAGGGATTCCTAGTAGGGTGAAGAAGGTGGACAGATACTGTTGAAATAAAGCTCAGGTAAATATGTGTTTAGTATATGAAGCAGATTGAGCTGGTTTAGGATAGTGTCCAGTGGTGAGCTGTCACATAAGCGGTTTTGATTTTCAGGTCTCTTAGGAATTCGTCACTTTGTTATCTAGTTGCATAATTACAACGTAATTATGTTGTGATATAGTTTACAGTTGTCATGTTACGTTCATGGCATATCATTTGAAGCAGTGTTTAACCTTGGACTTTCAGGTACGTCAGTACATGCTTAGGCGTACAGATAAAGTCTAATTACTAAGCGTTTAAGTCCCTGTGTGATAATGGTGCCAGTGGTATTTAAATTAATTATATATTTTTCAGTTTTGTATTTGCTACGTTATTTTCCCCTGATTGCTGTAAAGTGGATATAACCGCTATATGACAAGGGTTTCATTTATGTGTACGCCATTTTGGCTGCCGAATTCAAGAAAATGTGGATGTATACATCCACTCCCCCATACGCCTTCATGTATAGATCCACGTTTTCTTTACCTCAGCACTAGTTCGAGGTGAGTGGTCAGCTTCACGCCCCGGCCAATTAACCCCCGGAGAAAGAGCCTCAGTTACCCATTGGATACGAGGCTGGTTGGGCCCCAGAACCTGTCTGGACGACGAGGAGATCAGAAAGTTCCTGACCCTACCTGGACTCGAATTCCGACCTCTTGATCGTCCAGTCCGTAGCCAGTCGCTATACTGACTACGGTATCCCGGTTCCCATATGAGAATACATATTTACTTAAAATACGGAGCTACTCAAATTCAGTTAATTGGTTACTAAAATATACGTTAGAAATATTTTTATTATTTACAGACTTTACAGATGTTCGATGTGAGATCCTCCATCCACAACTCACAATGCTGTGATGATGCCATTCTGCCAACTGACTGACAGTTTGAAATCTGAACATTCCCGTTAATACGAGAGAATATTTTAGGTTAACTGACTTTTGGGGCGCTCTGCATAATTTTATCATTTTGCTACAGCCGTTACTTTATTAAGAACGAAATTTTGTTTCTTTCGAGATAATTAAAGAAAAGAACGTACGCTCTAGAATCGTTATGCTCTGCGTAATTTTCGTCTTGTTTTAATTTTCTTTTATGATTGGATTATACTGACGTTCTTGTTCCCTGTTCTCCAGATGTATTGGATCCGTTTCTGTAGTCCGTATTTTGACGTGAAACTGGAACTTGGCACTCCTTTGGAAATATATAAATTTAGACGTTTTAAAATAGTGAAATTTTGTTCCTGGTAAGATGGCCGATACACGGTGCGTTAAACATCTATATCGAATAAATTCACCTACCTTTCCAGTAAGTGTGTTACATTTACTCCTTCTCTGCTCACTCACTAACTTATCCACTCACCAGTCATCCTCACACACTTCATACCCACTCTTCACACACTCGCGAAATCATCCAGACAAACTCACCAAT